GCAGGAGGTTATTGGAACTTGTCCATCTAAATTTCCCACCTTCTGCCTCTTGTTTCTATTCCAGCCTCCTGATATCTCCCTGCTTTCCTTGGCTCTTCTAGATGTAAGTTGTTAGTAAGTTAAATTTACTGGAAAATTCCATTGAGACCTTTTAAATCACCGTGCCTAGTATTTAATATTTAGATTCATCATCCCTGTTGGACAGTTGGTGTGTGGTCATGAAATTTCTTTTGTTGTGTTATTTACTAGTGTAAGTTTAATTGCACCCTATTTGTGTATAGTGTAACTAATTTTGAAGCTATCTTAATTTCTTCTTTAATTCTTTGCTCTTCTTTCTGCAAAAAAAAATTATGAATATGTCACTTCATTAATTTATTTTCTCTGAAAGAAATTCTCTGAATTTCTTAAATTTCTTTTAAAAAATCTCTTGTAGGCAGTCTAGTTGAGGAGTTTTGGAAGCCCTGGATACCTGAGGTCTTTAGCCATATCTGTGCACTCCAGATTGTGGAGAAATCCCCTCCCTCTTCTGGCTCTTGACTTGGAAGCAGCTGCAACTCAGGGCAACTGTGAATCTGAGTTAAATTGCCCTCTGGAACCAGGATTTGGTCCTGGAGCCATACACTGGGCACATCCCCTCTTCTTCCCACTGTGCTCAGGATCTGACCATACACCCTGCCAGGATTTGGTTTTTTTTAGAGAGTGTATTGTCCCTCCCTTCAGGAATCTCCAGTGATAATTTTTTGCCTGAACTAGAATTGTAGCTTTTCTTCCATGTATCCTGATGGCTGTTTCTCTTAGTTGATGAATTAGCTTCCCTGACATTAAATATCCTCAATTCATTCTGAATGGGCTCATAGATACAAGAACAGGTAAAAACATGGCTTGAAACAGGAAGGCAGTCTATTTGCAACAGTCTTCAGTATTGGCCTAATTCTGTTGTCTTAACAAGTAAGAAATCTATAGAAAATTCATCTGTTTATATGCAAAGGCAGTGTTAATGTAACACTAAGATGATTCTGGACAGCTAGCATGACAGGAAATTTAAATCAGCATTGTCCTGGGTTTTGCATATCATGGCCTCATGCTGATTACTGTGGGTGATTTGCTATGCACAGAGTTCAAGGCATTCAGGCTTGGTTCAACCCAGCCATGGCAGCAGGAGCTGGTGTCACATGAAAGAGCGTATGGATTAATAAATATGTGTAGTGTCTGCAAAAGGAGGAGGCAACTGCAGAGTCAGACCACGTATCCCCCACCAGATTTGTCCCTCTGTGTTTAAGTATTTTCTGTCTCCATACAGTTCCCAAGTGGCTGAAGAAGCTGGGAGGGTTCATTTTTATCATAGTTTCTCCTCCAGGTTATTAGTTCAGAAGATAAGACGTCCGGCTCAGATCCATAATGCTGTCCCCTCAGTGCACTGCCTGAGTTACAACGACATGAACTTAACATCTGTGAAGGATCTCTTCACTGCTGCTGCCAGTGGAGCACGATCTCTCCAGAAAAGCTTCGGCAGTGTCCTTCATGTCACTCTGGACAAGGAAATCCTTTTTGGGAGGGCTGTGCATGGCCCATGGGTGTGGGTCAGTATCACTGATGTGATCTGTGGTGCTCAACAGCACCTACTTGATCCCTCTGGAAGGAGGGGACATTTCCCACCCCAGTCTTACACTGTGATGGGTGGCCTTGATCAGACTTGAGGGTGAGGAGCATCCTGAGGGAGGACTGTGACCTGTGCTGTGTGGCTACCACAGCCTGCCCTGTGGCTTGTGGGCATGGTGTGGGCCAGAATGGCTTTGGAGTGAGGGGCTGTGCTGGTGGGTTGGGGCAGCCAGGGCTGGTGCTGTCTGTGAGCTCCACTGCCCTTTCTGCTGTGGTCAAGCACCTCCTTGGTCACCCCCTCGCTACCACTAACCTTCACAAAGAGTGAGAACTTGCTGTAAGATTGCTGCTGTGTATTCCCTGATGAAGCAGTTCTGTTGTAATGGTTAGCAAAGAAAGGCTCATACAGATCCAAATCAATTTTAACTAAAGCAGCATGACATTTTAGAGGACTGGCTGTGCCTTCTTATCTATGTCTTTTTGAAAGCCTTCATTGCAGCTTATGCAAAGAATAAGAAACTCATGGTAAAAAGAGGGACTGTTTGCTTCCCTGAAGAACAGTGTTTCCCTAGGTTGTCCAAATTATTCCAGGTTTTTTCTTGTTACATAGCTATCACTATTTAAATTCTGCTATATTGTCTGGCCACTTTAGTATTTCTGTCCACATTTACATTACCTGATTAATTTAATTCCATTGTATGCTAATGAAATGAAAGAAAAACAGCTCACTTGATGGTGCAGAGCACACCTGTGTATTCTGGATTTTAACCCAAGCTGTGGATGAATCACAGCACACAGCAGATAGTCATTGCTAAATTGCTGAGTACAAAGATGCATTGTGTGACTCACACGCTGTTTCTCTCCTACCATTATAAACCCTGAGAGCACTAGATGAGTAACAGAGAGGCAAGAATGAATTCATCCATGCTTTACTCTGTAACCATCTTTTATAAATACTGAGCCAAATTCTGCCTCCAGATACACGCAGCTCGCATTGAAGTCTGCCCACTGTATTTATTTTTAAAGATAAAAGCACTTTTGTTATTTTCACTGGGGACTTCTGTGACACAGTCCATTGTGAGGATGTGAATATCCTTCCTCAAGAGCTTCAAGTGAGGCAGAGAGTGTCTGCCTGGAACCAGGAAGGGTACTTCATGGATCATAGCTACCAAACTCTGGTGCTGGAATAGGACCATTACATTTGTCCCAGTGATTTTCAGAGCCACATTCCCTACGCTTGGCTCTTTCATAACACTCCCTGTCCTGCTGTGGCTCCGAGCTCCTCTTCATGGGTGACCAGGGGCTGAACTGGTGAAGCTGGTGGGCAGGTCCATTCTGCTCCTGGGTCTTGCTCTCAGCTTCAAAGCACACTGGGTTGGTGAGGGAGCCTTGAGTTAGGGCTTGGGCTTTTTCTTTGGTCATTTTTTCTGGGTTTTTTGTAGTTTTTTCCTGAGCTTCCCCAAGGGACATAAATGAGAACTGCCTCCTTTTTTTCCCCCAAACCAGGATTTGTTCTGTTGTCCAAAAGTTGGGATATGAGGTGGCTTTGAGTGTATGCTGCTAATTGCTGTAAAAAGAGAGACATTTGTCCCATGGCCTCATGTTTTTGAAAGGTTCTGGTGAGAAAATATTCTAGAATCATGCAGTAAACAGATCTAGAGGCAGAGGTATATTTTCTTTTGTTTGTAGGAAGGGGTTTTTGCCCATCTTGGGCTTGTATGATGCGAGATGGCTGCTTTAAAGTTCTGTCTGTACAGGCAGAATGTCTCCTGGTTGAGTCTCCCATTAGGGTAATAGAGGTGGGGAAAGCAAAGGGGTGTGGAGTGTGTTCACTCTTTTCTTACCTCTGGTTGACTGAGGCTTGTCTCCTCTCTTTGTGATACTGCTCATCCCATCATTTTCTGTACAGCTCAAAGGAAAACCTGGGCTGCAAGTTTCACCAGCTCCTTCAGTCTGTATGCAGTTAGTTACCTCCAGGGAATGATGCTGGGTCAGGGTGAGAGCGGGCAGAGCACTTTGTAAAACAACGTGATTTCACCATGAGGCAGAAGAGCTATTAGTCCTTTTTGATGTGGAACTCCGGTTTGAGTCACATATTGTGAATGAAATCTAATTTTGTGATTCACCATGGTTTTTAAAAAACCTACAGCAGCTCTGAAAGCCATTATTAATAAATTATAATGTCTGATCAGAAAGAGGTCAAATTATCAATTATGAATGATTATCTGGCAAACAGCCATTTCTCATGTTTAGAGGTTTTCTTCAAACTGACCTGACATTATGGAAACTAGTTTCTTTTTCTGGTTTGTTTTTGTTAAATATCTGCAGACTACATGTACTGTCTAGTTTGTGCTGCCTTTTCTAGACTGCTCAGCCTCTGTGATATGTGGCTGGTCAACTGCATTCAGCTCACTGCTTTTATGTTATTTTCTCCCAGGGAAAAAAAAGGAGGTGGCAAGTGCTTTTGGAAAAGGCCTGCTGCTTTCCACTTTGAAGTAGCTAAGTCAGGGCAGGTCGCCTTCTCCTCTCCAGAGGCTACTGTATCATCAAAACATGATTATGATTTATTGCATTTCTAAGTTTACATATTGAGCAGCTCCTGCTGCATTTATCTGTGAGGAATAGCCAAGTGCTATGGCTTATGCAGTGGCTTCTCCTTGGCTTGGACAAATGAGATCTAACTAACAGGAGTGAAATAGCAAATCATGATTAGTTTTATTTCTGTACAAATACTAGTAGTGAAAAGAGAATGCACATGCTTGTGTGATAAACAAACTGTTCCCCACAGTCTGTTTTGGAAAAAAGGGTTGGGCAAATGTGTGTGAATGTTCACATGACAGCAAGTAAGAGGGGATTTAACTGGGGTCAACAGCATGGATGTTCAGGAACCCAGTGCACATTCCCAGACTTGGCTTCTGTCATGACAAACAGCAGACTGCACGTGCTGGAGAGGCCACGTCGCCTTGTGCTTCTGTGCCTGGCAAGCACCCCTCGGTGCAGCAGCAGTTTCACTTGTAGCAGTTGTGGCATTCTTCCTTCTTTGCCCTGGGAACAGGTCGTGGCGCTGTGATGACAGACTCACTTCTTGTTAATTGGGTTGATATTTTAACTGTAATTAATGCGTTAAAATCAGATTAATGAACGGGCAGCCATCAAGAAAATGGTGCTAATAATTGCAAGGCATGTGAGAGTCAGGGAGGACTTGACCCATAATTTTTACTGCTGGTGGTTTCTTTTGGGTTTAAATCAGTTCACTTACAGCTAGGACAAACACACAGAGATAATTCTTTCCTCTACTGGACTTGAATTTACCAGCAGCACTGCTGGTGACGTGCTTGTGCTGACAGTCAGGGACACAGTCACCCACCTGGAGCTGATCTCTCCTGCTCATGTCGTTACAGGCCACGTGGTGAAGGCAAGCAGCCATGGCTGAGGATAGGAAAGACGAAGCCAAGGCACCACACTGGACTTCAGGTCAGCTAACAGAGGCTTCTTCACACCCACATTCACCTGAAATTAAGGATCAGGGTGGCGCAAGCGCTGGACTGGTCAGAAGTGCCAATGGATTTCCATACCGAGAGGATGAGGAGCTGAGGCTGGGCAGCCACGAGCAGCCAGGGACGTATGCTCAGACCAAAGAGAATGGGATCAACGGAGAATTGTCATCAGGGAACAGGGAGACTGCAGGTAATGCACCTCGATGCCCTGCTGCAGAGCACAGGGCTCTGGAGACCCCTGGGGGTTTCTCCAAGAGGAGATGTTAGGTGGAGTAAAGCATACCATGGGGGAGCTGACATGAGGAGGGTGTATGTGCTTTGTGAGGGCACTAGCTCTTCACTGAAAGGACTGCATCTTCACCCAGATACATACTTAGGAAAGGTCTGAGAAGGCTTCAGGAAAGGCCTTCTTTGTAAATGAATCAGGGTCACCCATCAAGGGATGTGGCAACAGACTGGTGCAGAGCAGCTGCTCGGGTCCTCTGGGCTACCAGGGAGTAGGAAACTGCCCAATTGTTGTGCATGGAGGGCTCGTGCATTTGTGTGTGCAGGAGGGATGGATTCTCCTGTTATTGCTCACAAGTAGCAAGACCTTCTTGAAACCATGTACTGTTGGCAGAATAATGCATTGCTCATTCTGGCTGGGAACACCACAATTAGGTATCAGCATTTATTCATCCTTGCCCAGCCATATTTCACTGGATGCTCTCTGGGACTTAGTCTATTTGTAAACTATGTAAGTTTTTAGAATTCAGCTTGTTATTTGCAGAAAAAAAAAAAAAGAGTGTGACTGTGTCAAAATGAAATATGCAAAGCAAGTTTCCTGTTTTAGAAGTAAATGCTAATTATCTTTGTGCAGAGTTCCCACTCCAAACCCCAAAAGCACAGTGCAAGAAGAATTTCTCTTGTACAGACACAACTGCCCTTGATGCATCCATTCATGCATGCTAAGGAGATCTTTCTAGCAATGTTTTTTTGGCTGTTGACAGCATTTGGAGATGCTATCCATAATTTCTCAGAGGCTGGAAAATTTTAAGGCTCCTGGACCATACAGTCATTTCATAAATAATTGTGCTAGAAATGGAGATATCTGCTAAAAGTAAATGTGTTTATATTTGAAGTCTCTTCTTGCAGATTGGCTTTCAAATTTTGGCCAAGGTAAAAGGAATCATGTGTGAGCATTCAGGTGAACACAGTGTAGATGACTGGGGAGATGATAACGAGGTCTTGTCTCTTTGCTCTAACCCAGCTTTATTCTGTGTTTAGCCAGCAAACAGAGACTGAGTGCGTGTCTCTTCCCTCATGTGACACAGATGTGTCACCCCATGTTGGACAAGTCCCCCGGTACATTTGCAAAAGTGGGGATTACAGGATGAAGAGGAATTTCTTATCCTTCGAAAGGGAGGAGAGAAGTGCTTTTCTCAGGCTCTGTGAAGCTCAGGTTCTGAGTGCTGGTCACAGAGAGATCCAAACATTTAACTGAGTTTGCAGCTAATGGGTGACAGGAGGAAGAAAACCACTGCTGGCCATCAGCAGGCATTACAGTAATGCCTTTTCATGTTGCTTTTTGAGGCAAGTGGTTAAAAGCAGAGCAAGACAAAATGAGAAAGCATGTTCTAGGGCATGCAGTAGTGCTGGGGACACACATTTGCAGAGGGAACAAGATTACTCTTCATACAGGTGAAGTTTGCTTCAGTCACCACTTTGTGGCCTCATTTCCTCTTTCCCTGCAGTTTTCTCACTGTCTGCTCAGACTCTGAGATCTCTGGTGTGGAGACTTACTGTCAATATGTACAGCTTTTGTTTGGGAGTCTTAATATAGCTTATCTCATGACATCTTTGTCCTTGAGCACTGGAAAAGTCCCTAGAGCTGCTTGCCTTCATGCCTGAATTCCTGGCTCTCTGGAAACTTGTGCACTGCACACTCAGGCGCTGGCTAAGCCCACATTTAATCGGTGCAGTGTAAACCTTTTTAGGATACTTAAGATACATTTCTTTCAATATTTTTTCTCTTTTTGAAGGAGAAACCAGTTAGCAACTTATTGTAGTGATAGAAAAGAACCAGAGTGTGTTTTGCCCCTTCAAACTAGTATTTACTAGCTGAACATGCTAAATGCAATGTGGGGCAGGGCTTCTAGATTTTTGATGTTCAATTCAGAATTTGATCTTGAAATTAGGATTGTTATTCACAACAAAATGTAGTCATCTTTGCTGTGTTTGTCTGTTTGCAAATTGTAACTTCAGGAGGGTACTGCATCAGGTAGGGTTTTTAAATGCCACTCTGATACACATAATTATCAATAATGTGAATCATTTAATCATTTGTAGTAGCTTACTGACTCCAAACATCTGAGGAGAAAGTGCACAGGAAGCCATGGTCGATGGAGATAATTAACCAAGCTGTGGGTTTGAGTAGATTTACAGGGATTTTATTTTTTCTGGTACACTGTATCCAGTCCAACACTGTATCCTAGGAAAATCTTTGGCTTCTCAACCTTCCTGTTAGAGTCTGTAAATTCCCAGCAACTGCCACAACCTTATGCACAGCAGAGCACTGGTTCAAACAGGGATTTCCCAGGCCGCTGTCCACCACCCAATCCCTGATGCATTTTGAGGTGTTTCTCCTGAGGAAGGGCTGCTGCATCTGGCTGACCCAGGAGCTGGGATTTAGCCACAAAATGGCCCTCTCCTAGGGAGAGGTGCTCTGTAGCAGGGCATTTGACCCTTCAAGGCACAGCAAAGCAGCAGGACACACATTCACAGACCTTGTGCTGTAAAATCAGAGGGCTGTGGGTTAAGGGAAAAGTTAGGGTAAGGCCACCAGGACAAAGACACCTTATGCCCACAGTGATGCAGAGGCAAGGGATGGTAGTGGGGGAGGAAGTGACAGTTCCTCCTGAAACACATCCAATCCATCACTACAAGTGACATTTTTAGATTTGCACAGTTAAAATTTGCCTTTGTGTATATATGTCTGTCTCAATGTCTAAGAGTTACTGAGTCTGACCTCAATTTTTGGAATCCTCTCAATCTGTCTGTTGCATTGCCTTTGATTGATCAGTCTCAGCATCGTGCTGGTAATGGCTGCATGATGGAGACACATCAATGCCCTCCTTTCAAAGGGACCGATAGGAATGTGGCAGAGTGCACAGAGCTGTGGGCATGGCAGCCTCAGGGCCTGATCCAGCAGCCACCCAAGTCAAAGGCTGATACGTGCAAGAGAGCAGGCTGGGTTTTTTGGCATAGCCCACAGGAAGCTATTGGGGTCTGATGTAAGTGTGGGTGGTAAAGCACCTATTTCTTTTTGTATGCATTTTGTGGATATAAATTTGGATATGTACTTGGATGCCTTGTGAAGGCTGACCTAGAACATAGGCTAGATGGAGTTAAAGAATAAAGCAGGGATTTTTTAGGAGGCCTCCATGGATCCACCTTGGGCAGCACAAGAGCCCAGCCAGGGCTACACCCAAAATGAACCAAAATGGTCACAAAATGGATGACCGGTAAGAAGGTCTCTCTCTTTTATAAGTTTTGATCCATTTGCATATTGGAGTTAATTGTCCAATTAGCTTTAGCCCATGAACTCCCATCCTTCTTGTTTTTCTCTCTTCAGTTCACATTGTTGATTCTCTTGGGCCTGAAAATTGGATCATTTGTCCTTGGTCCCCAGCTAGAGAAGGAATTGTTTTGTCTCCCTGCTCTGTGCACAGAGCTCACCATGCCCTAATATGAAGCTCAGAACTGCACACTAAAGCAGCACAGAATCTGAAAAATATAAAAGCTAAAACCTGAGGCATCATTTCCCCCCTTTAGAGGCTTGACAAGGCATTTACCTCGTTGAGTCTCTATTCTAAATATTTACTAAAAATAGGTATTTAATAACAGATAAGTATCTAAGGTAAGTATCTGTCTACCTCCGGCAGACCAGCTGAGCCTTGTGCTTCTGCCAGACACAAATCCCATGCTGTTCTGGAGGTGCTCCTGAAGACACCTTGCCTTTGGTGCAGTCTGCAGCATCCCCCAGCCTGAGACCACTGAGTTTTGATGTGTTCTCCCTGCTTCATGCCTGTCCATGTCCCTTCTCACTTGCACACACAGAGCATCTTTGGTGAAGACCATGGAATTATTAAGAGTGGAGAATGAGACCTGTATGTTTTGTCAAGCCAAACATTTTCATGTTGTGTAAAACGTGTGATGCAAAGGGACACAACAGTGTAATCCTCAGAAACTCACTCTGAAGTGGGCTGACAAGGAAAGCTTTGCACTGAAATCAGTGGTAGAGCACAGGATGTGCCTAACTTGCAGTAAAACATGGGAGTGGCAGCCTTTTCTTTGCTCATTGGAAAGTTGTGGTCAGCTAACTGGGAGGAAGCTGTGAGGAGGACTACAGATATGCTGCAGCACTCTCTGGGAACCAGCAGTTTGATATAATCCATTTTATTTGAATTACAAGAACATCAGGCTACAAAGGTTTGGGTTTTTGCACTTAAAATGCATCTATTTTTTTCAGTGATGCAATAACTAACCTGTCAAATTTATATAATTAGGGATAATAGTGGTGAACATTGTGTAGCATCTTCTACAATATGTCTTTATATACAGTGACTCAACTGATTAAGTGCTTTCTTCATTATATGCCAAATTCAGATTTGTAATTGGGGGGGGGGGGGGGTTAGATTACCCACACTGTTATTTGATGAATTATTTTTTTGACAGATGAAGGGAAAGCATTTCCTGAAATCCTATTACCAGAGCCTCAGGACAGTGTCTGTGTCCTGGTGGCAGACAGTGTTAAGGGCAGTAACATGTCATATCAGAGTGACAAAATGTAGCCCTTCATTAACTGGCAGGGAACCCAAACCATGTGGGATGCAAAGGGACTGTGGTAAGCTGTAGCAAGTTCCCTGACATGGCACAGCAATCCCACTGCAGGCTGGGTGCTTTTGGCTCTGGGATCGCAAGGAAGGTGGGTGAGAGGCAGGAAACAACTGAAGAGAAAACTGGGGAGGGACAAACTACATTACAACTTGGAATGTAATTTATCCTAATTCAGCCCTTTGTTTCAGGCTTTGGAAAGCTGGGCTCAGTGGGCATCTGGAACATACTTATTCCATCTACTCTTTTGAACAAGCATATTTCTATAAGGTGCAGGGAATGTGAGTCTGAACAACTGCCCTATCACAGCAAGTA